AAAACGCAAAAAATGGCAGGAAAATCGGCGAAATTTTCTGACCTTATTTTTACGTGAGAGGATGTTTGGCCTACAGGCCCTACCATCAACATGATAAAATGATCACATTACGCGAATCATCTAGTACTTAAGGTTTTTCGGACCAAAGCAGCCTTAATGTGGCAGTTAATTGGTAAGTGGTTTTGGCGAATTTAAGGAGTTCATTTAACCGAATTGGGTAAAGCTCAGCGAACTCGGTGGTAGTCAACTGGTGGATTCTAGAGCGGTTGCTATGGAAATGCTACTCGAGTAGTTAGCTTACTTTCTCCGAAATTGTGGATTCCAGTCGTTGCAGTAGGCTGGGCAGATTACTTTACCCACGCTTAATTAAACTTACGGCTCCCGGTAGGACCTCGTACTAAAAGTGTTTGTGTACTGATACGTTCCTTCTGCTGTTGTAGGTTTGCATCCCATCGAGGCCACCAATTTTTCGAACTGGGATTAAATGAAGAATAAAAAGCTGCCGAAATTTCATATTAAAATGTTGTATGCCAATTAGAACTAAACTAAGTGACCGTATTGAATAAAAATGATGATTGAAATCCAAATGACCAATTTGGGTTAAAGTGAACATTGTGCAGTCTGAGTATTAGTTTGATGTTTTACGCAGGGTTCCCCTTTCATTATGCGGAATGAGTTTATAAGTTTTGTCATAAACCACTAGATCGAGTAGGCTCGACAAAGTAAGACAATGCGCAAAGATAGGGAACGCAGAAATTAATATTTTGGACTTATAAATCGTTACCCGCCAGCCGTATACGACCCCACGTTTTCAACTCCTGAAGCTGGGACCCGCGTTTTGTTGGTTAGAAGGTCAGCTTAGTAACAACTGAGCCACGAGCTCATTGTCAAGTTGGTCGTGATCGGGAATATTAAATGCATTGAAGTGCGTTTAGAGCTGGCTTATGGGACCCGCTCCTATAGTTTTATTTTAGGGCTGGATCTAAAAGCTGGAGATGTTTTCAAAATCTTGGTTAGTCAATCGACACTAATTTTTGCATTTTAATTACATCTGTCTTCCTTAAAGATACGTTTTTTTTAATTAGCTTAATGTTACTCTAAGTGTTTTCATTTAATTGAAGCTAATCTATCCTTAAATTCGTGTTTTTCTTAGTTTACTAAGTCTGGTTTGTATTTTTCAACGATTTTTCAAGAAAAACATTGAAATGTCACGTAACTCAGAAGGACAAGTTAAAGCTAACTTTTGATTACTTTACTTTCCGTTAACGTGAACACATTACCACATTTTTCCAGAACGCCCATCTTGCGCTACTCTGACTTCAGGTAGAGTGCTAATAGTTAGCTTTCAAGGGGGTTCTGAAAAGAGGACGTGAACAAATACCTGCCTGGCTAAACAAAATGGGAAAATATTTCAATTTCGAGTTGCATTCTCATACATTGAATCAACATGAACCACAAAATTAACGCCAGATAAGCCTCTCAAGACACTAACACACTAATTTAAATGCCTACACAAGTAAGTGCTGGCAAAGGACGAAGCAGTCGCGATTCGGATAGAAAAACCCGCACTCTGTTTTCAAAAGACTTTGATACAAGCAGTCTGTTTCCCTTGACAGACTCCATGTGGAAATCGCATACCACTCCACTTCCTAATGAGACTGACAAGCACCCCATCTGGTTGACGGATAGCCATCGCACATAGCCAACCCTGAATGCCTCCACTTTCCACTTCGCTCCCAAACCCATACTGGCACTATTATGCGGGTACCACGGGAACGAAGAGGATGATTAACTATCCCTCCCCAAAAGACCATATAAGCACTGTACATAAGTCACGATTTCGTGCTCCATGTCCTTGTAGTGACCTGAGGATTAATGTCTGAAAATATATGTTTGTCATATCCAATCTTATTTCCTATATTTTTGTATATGATTTTTCACTACCTGATCTGTTCTAAGCAGCACTGGAAAAACCGAAGG